CTCAGCTTCCTGGGGTCACTAATGCCCCGGGGTCCCCAGCCTTTGCCCCAGTCCTGGGAGAACAGTGAGGAACCCAGGAAGTGACTAGTACGAGCCATCTCCTCAGCCACCTGCAACCTGCCTGGAGCATAATAAACCACCAACTTCCCCCAAATCCCAGCAATCGCGGGTCCAATGGCTGCAGCAGAGCAAGGGGAAACTGAGCCAGCCCTGGCCTGTTGTACCTCCTGCTCATGCCCAGGGCCTTGGTGTGTCCTCTGGCCCTGGCCGTTGGGCAGTTTGTAAATCAAGCCTGGCTGTTCTTCTAAATCAGGGTTTCCCAACGTATGGGTCCTGACCCAAATACGGATCACCATTACATTTCAAAAAGGTTGCCAGGTGTCTCCTCAGGTGGCTCTGCCCCCCACTTCCCCCCGTTTTAGAATTGCCCTGGGTCACCAAGTCTTCCTGAATTGTCAAAATGGGTCCCATCTGGAAAAGGTTGGGAACCGCTGGTCTAAATGATCAGCTGTGGGAATTACTGTGGGGCAGCCCATGGGCCTGTGTTTTACAGGGGGCAGGTGGGGTGATCACAGGGGTTCCCTCTGGCCTTGGAACCCATGAACGGATGAATCACTCCCCCCTTTTCTCTCTATAGAGACCCTGCTGTCTGACCGGGACAGAGAGAAAGGTCAGTGCCTGGGCCAGGTACAGTAACTGATAGTAACGTTCTGCCCACGAACATGCCAGGATGAAATCTCACCTCTCCCTCGTTTCTCCCTCTAGAGGCCCTGCAGGCAGCGATGGAGAGGCAGACAGGTCAGTGTCCGGCACCGGGGGATGGGTTCAACGTTCCACGTCATGTCCATCGAGTCTGCACAGATGAGCCAATTTACCTCAGTAAAAAGTCACATTTAATGCCAGTGCAGTCGCTGGTTTCCACCTGGACATCAGCATTAGCGGGTGGAGTTACTGCCTGTGTGACGAGTGACGGGGAGCTCAGGGGCTATTAACAGGCTCTGAAGGGGAAGGGACCATTAATAAACCCCACAGGTATTACAGAAACAACACCCTGAGCCCTGGGCCCTACATACACCGGCTCAGCTCAGTCAGTCGTACTACCGGACAGCGAGTACGTCTGCAGTGCAAACAACCACCCATAGCAGCAACCCTCGGAGCCTGGGTCAGCTGGCTGGAGGTCTCACTGCAGGGCTAAATCTAGCAGCATGGACATCCCTGCTTGGACACGTCTCCTCACCGGGTGTTAGAGCCCAGCTTCCTGTCTGAGAGGGAACATCTGTCTTGTGGGAGCCCCCAAGCCTGTCAAGTGGGGCCTGGCCCTGAGTGTGTGTGTACAGGGCCTAGCGCTGTGGGACCCAGACTGGTCCTGAGCTGTGCTCTGCTAAAGTGTCTTATGGACAAATGGTTCACACCGTTGGTATCCCCAGCGAGGGACACACTTCCCTTAGCTTGACGTTTGTGCTTTACATTTTGAGACTCGACCTTAACTCAGCATGTCTGTTACTTTCCAGCGGAATACGAGGCAGCGAAAGGTAAGGGCAGTTCGACTGGTTCGATTATGAATTAAATAGGCAAATGAGCACTCAGAGCTGTGTTTGCAAGGACATGTTAGTGCCAAAAGAATTGTGTTGCTGAGACAGGTACCCCACATGCCAAGGGAAAATCCAGCTATTACACAAACAAAAAATGGATGGGAAATGTTGGCATTGAAATCTGAATAGTAACAGTTTGATATTTCACAGTTGGGACCCCAGGAAATAGCACTAAAAGGCAAACCAGCCTCACTCCCTGACACCAGAGACGCCCTGTAACAAGAACCACAAGTATTTTATACGAATGGGGCCCGCACTGCTGAGTTCTCCATGGATGTTCACCTGCATCCCTAAGCTGTGTCTAGACTGGCATGATTTTGCGCAAATACTTTTAACGGAAAAGTTTTTCCATTAAAATGATTTGCACAAGAGAGTGTCTACACTGGCACGGATGCTTTTGCACAAAGCACATCTTTTGCGCAAAAGCATCCATGCCAGTGTAGACTCTCTCTTCCACAAGAAAGCTCCAATGGCCATTTTAGCCTTCGGGCTTTCTTGCGCAAGAAATTAACATTGCTTTCTACACTGGCCCTCTTGCGCAAGTATCCTTGCACAAGAGGGCTTATCCCTGAGCGGGAGCATCAGCGTATTTGCGCAAGAAGCACTGATTTTGTACAGTACAAGGTCACTGTTCTTGCGCAAATACTCGCGGCCAGTGTAGACAGGCAGCAAGATTTTGCGCAAAAGCGGCCACTTTTGCGCAAAATCTTGCCAGTCTAGATGCAGCCCTAGTGTCTTTGGAATAGGATTGCACCCTCTTGCCTGACACACACCATTGCTCTGGATCAGGCGCACGGTCTGATTGCACTGAAGCCCCATGGATCCCCAGGGGAGGGTCTGCAAGATCTGAAGTCATAACTAGCGGTTAGGAGCCCAATCCTACTGTCCTTACTCAGGCTAAATTCCCACTGAAGCCAGTGTAAGGGGGGTTCAGAACTGGGCAGTTTTGCTATTGAGAATCTCTCCTATTGATTCATTTCTCTTCTTTGTTCCCCTTTCTCCCCCCTCCCATTCCCATGGACCCTCCGGCAGAGCTGGGTAAGCCCCGTTTCTGGTTTGTTTTTCAGTGTGTGTCTTGCTGAGTCTGAATTTCGTTTGTGTAAAATCTTGTGTTTGATTATTTTAGGACTCACCAGAGCCCAAGGATACGCAGGTAACTAACTCTGCTAATGCTGCCGCAGTCCCACTGGCCCTTTCCCTGGGGTTCTGTCCCTGCTCAGACACCACGTTCCCCTCACACCCCAGAGCCT